TTTCAGAGGCCATCTGCATAAATTCATGTTTCTCTTTTTGCCTAAGCTGTTAGGAAGCTCAACAAAGAATCAACAGCCTTAAGCTTGTTACAGATTTCTAGTACAATGATCTCTTTTTCTCTAAGTCAGTTCCTCTTCCAACCAATGACTTCACAATACAGTGGGCCCTCCACATCCACAGATTCAATCATTGCAGATCAAAAATGTAACATTGTTGTTGATATTTTGTATCAATAGTTAGGCTATGATGGTTGCATCTGTACTGAACACGTACAAGCTTTTTTTGTCAGTATTCCCTAAACAATTGACATAGCATTTATACTGTATTAGATATTGTAAGTAATTTTGAAATGATCTAAGTATAAAGGAGGATGTGTTAGGGCTCAATATCACCATCAAATGCTCTTTCTGAAACTAGACAGGGTACAGAGGGTGATAAATTGTTGACCATCATCAGACATCCATAAAGAATATTGAGGGGACCAGCAGGTGGCACAGTGGTTAAAGTGCTGGGCTCCCACATGGTGGACCATGGTTCGAGTCCTGGACCTGGTGGCTTGCCTTCTCACTTTCTCTTTCTCTCTGTCTGTCTCTGTTGATTGAGTGCATGTGCCCGGTAGCAAATTAAATAATAATAATAATAAATAAAATAAAATCTTTTTTTAATTTTCCAAAAGCTCTGTTTTTATTTATACAGAGTCCTAACCACTTCAGCAGTAGGAGGAGTGGAAGAGGTTCCTTTTACAATGCAGGGGCTCCATATGTTGGTTCGTTGTCACCAAACACACAGCCAAGTGCATCATGGATTTGGTAAGCTCATGACAATGCTGAGTCTCTCTCTGCTAAAGCAACAAGGTGAGCATCAATCTCTGGTTCTGTAAGAATCCCGAATTCAGGATTTCCCACTGCAGCTACTCCAACTCCTATTTCTTTTTTTTTTTTTTTCTTTTTTTTTTTTTGGAGAGATTTTTGCTATAGGGCGCGTGCGCTCACCAGACAGACAGAGAGAGACATAGAGACAGAAAGTGAGAAATCACCCCCCAGGGGGGATGGTCACGCCGCAATCCCTTCTCCTCCATTTTCCTCTCGGGATCTTGGGCACGCACGCACACGCGCCTGGCGTGAGTTTTAAGCCACCGGGTCCGGGACACGAACCACGGTCGACTACGTGGGAGTCCAGCGACATAGCCATTACGCTAACTGCTGGTTCCCTCCAACTCCTATTTCTGAAGGTTTGGAATCCATTGACAGAACGGTAGACAGGCATGTAACTGCAGTTTCCACCGTCTGTTCAAGTGTCCAATCAAATGTCTTCTTCACTTTTTTTTTTTTCAAGGAAACTGGTTGACTCAGTTTGTTTAATGCCTGCGACGGTGGCTTTGCACCCACAGTAGTGACCTGCAGGATCATACTTGCACACCTGAGGCCCTTGTTCTTCGTCTATACCAACTAATATCATACAACAACCAAGAGGCCTCATCTCAGCATTCTGCGTGTAGGCCTGAGAAATACCAGCACTTCTTCCCCACGGCACGTCCACAGGAATCGCATAGCCATACTTGTATTTCCAGTTAGCTGCCTCGTGGCGTGCCCTCTGTACCTGGGATCGGCCGGCAGCTGTCAGCCCTGCCATCGCACGGCCAAGGTTCTCCGTGATCTCGCGTGAGTGAGTCACGGTGCTGGAATCCAGCAATTCGTCAGGACCTTTTCTCTGTGTGACAATCACTGCGCAGTCTTTGCCTCTCACAGCTACTGAGGTAAGGCCACCCTGGCTGTAGCCTTGAAAGCAAATTCTACTTGGTAGAGCCGGCCCTCGGGTGAAAAAACGGCGATGTGGCGGTGAGAACGAGCGCTAGACCCAAGGGACATGTTGGTGCATCCACTACTTCAAGTACAATCTCAAAATTAAATCATTTTTAACAAGAAAATACCAAACGAACATTGAGGCTACACTGGATATGTAACAAAGGGAGCTGCACTTGCCGGAGAGGCACAGAGAGGGAGGGAAAGTGAGAAATCACCCCCCAAGGGAATGGCCATGCCGCAACCCCGTTCTCTCAGGATCTTGGGCACACACCAACGTGAACCCAGCATGACCGCAATCCCTTCTCCCGTGTCCTCTCGAGATCTTGGACACACACCCGAATACCCAGCTTCATGTCCAAGCTTTGGGGTCTGGGCCTCTAACCACGGTTGGCCATGTGAGAATGCAGCACCTTAACCACCAGCCCACCTACTAGCCCCTAGCCTACTGCCCTTTCTACCCACACCTCCTTCCCCCACCATACCAGAAACATTCATCCAGTCCTGAGGGACAAAGGACTTGAAGGGGAAATAGCTTCTATCTTCTTCATTTATTGCCTCCTCCATACAGCCTTCCCAGACCACTCCAAGAGAAGCAATCACCTGGACACCTCCTTTCCTATAGAGCGCTCCCAGAGAGCAGGCTCTGGGTCTGGGGTCTCTACCTCTCCTCCCACAGCACAGACCCCACATCCCGTAGGAACAGAGCTGAATGCAGTAATTAAAAACACGAGCCAGAAAAGTTGGAAAAACCACTCTTGTGGAGAAAGGCTATGAGAGTTGGGGCACGAACTGACCTGAGTCTCAGTTTCCTCGCCTGGAACTGGGGGAGATTAAGAGGCTATAAAGCCCTTGGCAAAGGCCCAGTGCCTACTGTGCACCTGCTAAGAGGGAACTATGACGGCTTCCAGCGGATGGCGGTGCCTGCTGGGTGAACCCCCCACCACACCACGCACACACGCACACGCACACACACACAGGATCTGTCTGGTGCCAAAGTGCTGGCTCCAGACCAGCTTCTCTGACAGCACGGTGACGGAGGCACTGGAAGATACGGGGCGTGAACTCTGGAGACCTCCGTCTAGCCCAGTCCACCCCACAGCTGCTGCCAAAGCGCACGCCCTCACACCCAACCCCTGGGTCTGCAGACCCAAGTGCCAAGCCCCTACCCCAGGGCTCCGGGTGAGCCCCATCTTCTACCTCCACCTGATGGTCACATCCTTGCGGTGGGAACCGGATGCTACGGCAACCGTCTGTCCCAGGTCCCCCTAGACCTGAACACAAGCCTCTTGCTGAGGAAGTTGCCCAGGTCCTCTCAGCCCCAGAGGCCCCCTCTCATTCCAACTCCTTCTACTCCCCCCATTGCAGTTCTCATTGTTCAAATGCCAAATGAGTCTCCAGCAGGGTGGCAGGGTCATCCACCCCAATTCCATCTTAGTCACAGTCCTCAGTTGTTGCCAAGCCTCCTCGGGCTGCCAACAGAACCAGGTCCCTGATCCTCATGGAGGTGCCCAAGACATGTGGCTTCTGGCCATACCAGAAGCAAGCGAGTCACTCTTGGAGTGATCTGGGAAGGCTGCATGGAGGAGGCAAGCCCAGCTCCACCCGCTCTGACGCCCTCATTGCTCTCCCCCAGCGCCCTCTCCACTTGCTCATCTCCCAGCCTAGGCTTCCGCGGTGCCCTACCTGGGAACTCAGCCTTCCCTACCTCTGCACCTAAGGTCAGTGATGGTCCAGCTCAAAAGTCACCTCCCCCATGAAGCCTTCCAGGTCACAGAATGGATCTCCCCTCTTCTGCCCTTTTACCTCATTTCTTGTAAGCCTCCAGGAAGTTGTTCATGGCTGAACCCCTCATAACAGCTCAGAGCCTAGCACGGAGCAGGTGGGATCAGTGGTACCCACCCCCTGCCCCCCACCTGTAGAAGTACATGAGTCCCAGACTGGGCCTGGCCCCCAAAGAATCTCTCCTACGGCCCCCCTCCCTCCAAATAAAGAAAAACTCTAGAAGATGAGTTAAAACTAGATTTCTGGTTGCACTTACAGAGGCTCACATTCCAATTCCACATTTTTCCGGGAGGAGGGGGGTTCCAAGAATCTGCCTTTTCAACAAACCCCTTCAGGAGACGGAGAACCCCCGCTGGGAGAGGGGCCCCACAAAGGGAGCTGAGAACTCTTGAAATAAATCAAGACGGCACTGACCCAGGCGGAAGTGGGCGCTCACCCAGGGCAGGGAGAGGGAGGCAAGGTCTCAGCCGAGCGTGGCACCTGTGCAGCTGAACGGCACCAGCTGGGGCCTGAGGCCAGCGAGGCCCAGCAGGAGGGGACAGCGGAGATGCCCGGGGCTGGATGGCAAAGCAGAACGGATTCCGGCCCACCGCCAATTCTAGCCCCGTGGAGGTGGATGAAAATGGAATCAGCCACTTGAGGCGAGGAGGCTCCTACAGGGGGAGCCGGCCAGTTCCAGATCCTCGCAAGAGGTACCAGGGGAGGAAAGTCAGCCCCCTGGCCCACCGGATAGTAAACTGGGGCGGGGGGCACAGATCCGCCTTGGCTGGGGTCTGCACAGGGGAGAGGGGAGGAATGTGGCCTCCTGTCTGTGCAGGGAGCAGTATCTCAGCCCCGCGGGCCGCCCAAACCGACAGGAACCCGGAGGGTCACCCCGAGCAAGCCAGGGCTCCCCACCAAGGACCCAGAGGGCCGTGCCCGAGTGTCAGTACTGGGGAAACGGAGGAGCCTTCCGCATGACAGGACGTATTCTGGGGCGCAGTCACCCGGAGCCGCTGGGAGCTCTGAGAGGTTGGTCGAGTGGACTCTGCCCCGGGCTGAGCAGACAGACCGGGGCCAGCAAGCCAGACGGGTAGGGAAGTTGTGCGCAGTGATTGTGGCTCAGGCGGGCGCTTGGGTGTGCGGCCGCTGGTGCCCACCTTGGGGCGGAGGGTCATGGGGAGCAGGAGAGTGGGCCCTCTTAAAACAGGTGCGCGGTGCATGTACTCACAGGGACGTTTGGTGGTGACAGGGCTCCAGAGTGATCTCGGGAGTGTCCACCCTGTGAGCGGCCGGGGTGGCAGGGCGCGTCGCTGCGCGTGCAAGCCTGGGCGGGGCGTGTATGGGCCGCGAAGTGGGCGCGCAGCCCCGTTAACCCCAACCCCTTGTGCGCCGACGGGAACCCCCACCCAGTCCCCGCGCCGCGCGCTCACCAGCTGCAGCAGCATGAGCCCTCCGAGGACCGAGCGCACGAAGCCCAGGTCCGGGCGCAGCGCCGAGACAGAGGCGCCGACGCCCTGCGCGGGGCTGCTGGTCCGGGTGCTCACTTTGGACGGGAACTCGGCCATGACGGCTCCGCTCGCCTCCCGAGGCTCCTCCGGCCGCCGACGCCGCCCCTCCCGCGGGGGGTGCCCGCTCCCGCGCCCGC